ACGCACCTACGTCCTCACCCTTTGAAGAGGAGGCGGACTCCTCGTCCTCGCCTTCCTCGTCCACCGGCTCTCCGGATTTGTAGGGACTTAAACGCTCTATCTCCTCTTCAAACTCCTCGAGCACCTCGTAGTCAAGCGACCTCGTGGAGGGCTGGTCGTCGTAGGGGTAGTCGTCTTCGTTCAAACTCTTCATAACTACTACTACGGGCCTAAGGAGACTAACTTAAGATCTAAGGGTGTTCAAACGCCTAACACTAGATCAACAACCTAGGAAGCAAAGTATGAAAAGTGAGGAAGATCGCGATGAACACTAACCTTGAACAACGAAGAACGCGAAGAACAGGCTTGGGAGTTTATCTCTCTAGAAAATCGGCCAGCACTTCGACAAATTCAGAATGCAAATACGTTTTCTCGTCGGACGGGGGGGGGGGGGGGGTATTTATAGAACCCCCCACCCAACGGTCACTACACGTGGCACTCCCCCAATGGCCACACCAACGGCCACCAATGGGGGGCCACCACGTCACCACGGGCCAAACTCAATATCAACAGCCCACTGGCAGGACGGACTCTACGGCCTACACACGCTCACTGGCTTTACAAAATGTCAGCAAGCGCCCACAACGTCCCACTTGCTCGCCAAGATCACAACTGCCAAACAATAAGGAGACGGCAACGGCCAGGAACGTAACGGCCACAAGATCACAGGACCCAAGAGCCCACAGGCCATCGGCTCCTCGTCATGATCTTTGATGATAACTCTCTACAAGCGATCTGCGCACAAGGGTTCTCCCACAGGGTTACCTTGGCCAGAAAATCGCCATGAGAGTTGGATTCAGGGGGACTACGGGGAGGCCGCTTCAGCCAGGGACTCAAGCAACTCCTTCACCCCTCACACTCCTCGGCCTGAAGCAGTGGGGGACTGGGGGACTACACCGGCCTCAACAAAACGAAAGAAAATGCAAACAAGGTAACCACAGAGCATGGCCACACCGGCCACGCATCACACTGCACCTCGTCGACCGAAGGCACACAACGTCATCTGCAACGGCCAACGGGCCACCAAAGGCAAGGACACTCATCGTCCTCCGCCATCACTTAATCACGAGGGGCTCTTCGGCCAGAAACATGAAAGCTAATCAACGACGGCCAAAAGGAGTGCGCAAACACCCTCATCGGCCATCCAAAGGGAAAGACGCCATCGTCCTCGAAGCAAGGACCAACTTCAGTGGCCTCATCGGCCCAAACACAAACTTCAACCATCAGCGCCCAAGCAAAACATGCCTTCAACGGCCACCATTGAAAGAAGGACACTCATCGTCCCAAAACGAAGACATCAAGCAAACAACGGCCTCCCTGTCCACAACGAGGAACAGGTAACGGCCAAGGACAACAAAGCACAGGAATCTACTCTCCTTCACTTCGTCTACGTCTCAGCTTAGAGAGTGGGGGACTCCTGATGGAGTATATGGGTCTGAGCCCCCGGACCCACATACTCGGAAGAACAGAAAGCACAAGACAACGGAGTGGCGCCCTCGTCGGCCAAGACGCCCCCGTCGGCCGAAAAGGGGCCAACTCGGATTATGGTCCTGAGTCCAAGGAACCCGGGTGCCCTCGTCGGCCATGCCCTCGTCGACCGTGCCCTCGTCGGCCGTGCCCTCGTCGGCCAAGAAGACCTCCCAGAATCAGATTTTATACTTACTCATTTGTACAGCCCATTAGTGGCTTTGTATTCGGCCCAGTAGCGGTCCAGTTGTAAATGGGCCTCCCAAGCCCAAGACTTGGGAGCCCAGCCCTAATTTTCTCTATAAATACTCCCTTTGGGAGTAGTTATAGGGGTTACAAAATCATTCTATTGAAGCATATTATTGCACTTCTCTCTCTAGCTCTCACTTCTCTCTAGATATACTCTATCAGTTATAAATTGAGCTGTATCCATACTTCAAACTGTGAAGAGCTCTTGCTGTGTATGACAAAAATTACCCAATGGTTATTATTATGTAGTCCCCTTCTTTGGATGATAGCAAATCTGATTAGACAGTACACTATAGACTAATACTACCTCCGTCCCTTAAAACTTTGCCAATGTTGACCGGCACGGAGAATAATAAAGTAAAAAATGTGTGGTTGAGGTTTGTCAGTTTGTGCAGAGGAAAGAGAAATAACATAAACCACAAAATAATTGATTAAAAGAGAAAGTGGCAAAGTTTTTTAGGACGTCCCAAAAAGGAAAGATAGCAAAGTTTTAAGGGACGGAGGGCGCAGATTATACCGTGCAACCGGCGCACCATGAGGATGGTGCGCCCGGTTGCAAAACGACGCAGCTTGCCCCCTTTTTTTTTCTTTTTTTGCTTTTGTTGTTAAAAAATGATAATAATTTTTTTATTTTTGATCCGATTTTTATAAAATTTATATCAACATTTTTTATTTTTTATGATCTTTTAAATGAGACCAATATTGCTTATGTAATTTTAAGAAATTATCGAACTATTATATTAATGAGTATTGGATTATAAGGAAAATCGAATCTGTTTGGGAGATGATAGGTTTGTGAAATAGAAGATCGAATCTGTTTGGGAGTGGATCAGTGGCCTCAGTTACATTTGATAATACATTGAGTTACATCTTTTTATGAGCGAGTTACATCTTTTTATAAGCAAGTTACCTCTTTTTATAAGCAAGTTACATCTTTTTATAAGCAAGTTACATCTTTTTAAAAGCGAGTTACATATATATAAACACGAGTTGCATTTGACATGCTTGAACGCGACTTACATATATTTACACGTAAAGTTACATATTTTTACACGTAAAGTTACATATTTATACACGCGAGTTACATATTTATACACGCGAGTTACATATTTATACACACGAGTTGCATTTGACCTGTCTGAACGCGAGTTACATATTTTTTTACGTAAAGTTACATATTGTTACACGTAGAGATACATATTTATACACACGAGTTGCATTTGGCCTGACTGAACGTGAATTACATATTTTAACACGTAAAGTTACATATTTTACACGCAAATGTTAATATGTTAAAATTACATAGGCAATATTGGTCTTATTTGAAAGATCATGAAAAATAAAAAATGTTGATATAAATTTTATAAAAATCGGACCAAAAATAAAAAAGTTATTACTATTTTAAAAAAAAAAAAAAAAACGTACTGGTATTTGGCAGGCATTTGTCTGCAACACGCCATCTATTTCAAATTTCAAATAATGTAAAAATCACTCGTCAGTTGTGCAGAGCATTAAATATTGCAGAAAAGTTGACCTTTTCTCTTATACCCGACCCGACTCATACTGTTGTGGTAGTTGGGGCGGGAAAAATGCCCTGAAATCCACCTCTTTTTATATAGAGATAGATAACACCATCTCTATGTCTGGATCTGTAGTCATAAATTAACAAGTTGTGTGGATTATAATGAAAGATAGTTCATACTAAAATCAATAAGAGGCTTTGGGGATTGAATGACTTATTGGATCCATTTTTTGTTCTACTTCGAGGCTAGGTTTTCATCTTCGAAATTGATAATTGATGATATAGAAGGATCAGATCTAATCTAAACAGTTAACATATCACTACATTTGCCCTAAGCAAAATTAAGAAGAATTGCAAGTGAAATTTTGAGCGCTACTGGCAAGAAAAAATACCTCGATCATCGGCAAATCCCAAGCAGCACCGCCGCCGCCGAGCAAAGTAAACCATAATCCAGCCTCCAGTAAACTCAAGTGGAGACACCTATGACGGCAAAACCTCCGGGGTTTGGAAAACTTGAGCGTCACTAGCGAATTGCAAGGGAAAATACATTTGCCTCATTTCTCCCTACGTTGTCTGTAGCACACCAACACCGTCTTCATTTCTCTCACGTTGCTTCTATTTCATTTAAGATTCTTGCATTCAATTTTACTATCAAAATAGGGCAAATTATACCGTACAACCAGTTGCAAAACGAGACCAATATTGCTTATGTAATGTTAAGAAATTATCGAACTATTATATTAATGAGTATTGGATTATAAGGAAAATCGAATCTGTTTGGGAGATGATAGGTTTGTGAAATAGAAGATTGAATCTGTTTGGGAGTGGATCAGTGGTCTCAGTTACATTTGATAATACATTGAGTTACATCTTTTTGTGAACGAGTTACATCTTTTTATAAGCAGATTACATCTTTTTATAAGCAAGTTACATCTTTTTATAAGCAAGTTACATCTTTTTAAAAGCGAGTTACATATATATAAACACGAGTTGCATTTGACATGCCTGAACGCGACTTACATATATTTACACGTAAAGTTACATATCTTTACACGTAAAGTTACATATTTATACACGCGAGTTACATATTTATACACACGAGTTGCATTTGACCTGTCTGAACGCGAGTTACATATTTTTTTACGTAAAGTTACATATTGTTACACGTAGAGATACATATTTATACACACGAGTTGCATTTGGCCTGACTGAACGTGAGTTACATATTTTAACACGTAAAGTTACATATTTTACACGCAAATGTTAATATGTTAAAATTACATAGGCAATATTGGTCTAATTTGAAAGATCATGAAAAATAAAAAATGTTGAAATAAATTTTATAAAAATCGAATCAAAAATAAAAAAGTTATTACCATTTTTTAAAAACAAAAGGAAAAAATATATAAATCCGTACCGATATACGGTGCTCACCGTATACCGGTCGTACGGTATAGGCACTGCAAAATAGAGGCTTAAGGTAGGGGCTTAAATGCAAATAAATTGGTTTTATTTGCGTGTTTAAAGATTCCATATGTAGCAATTCTATTGGGCCAACGGAGGAGGTATGGTACCCTCTTAATATTCAATTTTGCTATACGTACCCTAAATTTACCCCATTTCCTACCCCATATAAAAACCCTCTCCCCTTCCCCACTTTTCTTCTCCCCCTCCCCCACTTTTCTTCTCCTTCCCTCCCTCTCTCCTCCCTATTTTCTTTTTACGCAGCCCCTCGTCCCCCATCTTCTCCCCTTTCTTTCTCTTTTCTCCACATCTTGATTTCTTCCCCATTTCAACATCTCTCTCCATTAAATCTTCCCATTTTTACAATCTTTTCTCCCTCCAAGCTTCTTCTCCTGCTTCTCGCCTCTTCTTCCTTTTTTCTTATCAAATGCAAGAGCTACAGTAGATCGGACGAAGGGGAGAGCTGGGTGACGTTGGATAGCTTGAAATGGGGAGACAACGACGAAAGTGCAGACCCAGAAGCTTTGAATGACTTGAGAAGATCTACTTTTCATGATTTTTTCTTGATTTTTTGGTGTGTTTTCGAAAAAAAGGGTTGTCTGTCTGACAGACAATTGTAAGTGCAGTGTCTGTATTTGTTAGTAAGACTCGTGAAGTTGTCTGTCATTTGATCGTTAGTTGTCTGTATTTGTTTTGAGTTGTCTTTATTTGTTTCGAGTTGTCTGTCATGTTGTTGTGAGTAGTCTGTAAGAGTCATGAAGTTGTCTGTCTGTCTGTAATTGATGGTTAATTATCTGTATTTGTTTTGAGTTGTCTGTATTTGTTTTGAGTTGTAGGTATTTGATTGTGAGTTGTCTGTATTTTGTGATGTTTATTTTTTGAGATGTAATTAGTATAACGATGCAGACATTAAATATACACATCCAGACAATAAGTATACACATACAGACATTACTTTATTGTGAATTACCATTTTGGAATATGTTTCATAAAGAAGACAGACAATACGTATGACTACACAGACAATAGAGATAACGAGACAGACATTATTTTCACCACAAATTACATACAACTCACAATGAAATGACAAACAAGTATGAGTTACAGACAATTTCACAACTCAAAACAAATACAGACAACTAACAAACAAATGACAAACAATTAAATATCAATTACAGACATTTATTTTTCAACTGACAGACAATTTCATGGCTCTTACAGACACTGCACTTACAAGTTGTCTGTCTGACAGACAACCCTTTATATTTCGAAAATACATCAAAAATGAAAAAAACAAAATCAAGAAAAGAAGATTTGCCGCTCAAGTTATTCAAATCTTCTTGGTTTGCCTTCGTCGTTGTCTTCCCTTGAGGTTGCATCCGAAATAGCAACCAACGTAGGCCCGCCGTCGGAAACCGGTGTAGACCCACCGTCGGCAACCAGCGTAGACCCGCCGTCGACAACGTCACCGCCGTCGACAACATCACCCAGCTCTCCCCTTCGTCCGATATACTGTAGCTCTTGCATTTGATACAAAAAAAAGGAAGAAGAGTCGAGGAGCAGGAGAAGAAGCTTGGAGGGAGAAAAGATTGTAAAAATGGGAATATTTAATGGAGAGAGATGTTGAAATGGGGAAGTAATCAAGATTTGGAGAAAAGAGAAAGAAAGGGGAGAGGATGGGGGAGGGGGGGCTGCGTAAAAAGAAAAGAGGGAGGAGAGATGGAGGGAAGGAGAAGAAAAGTGGGGGAGGGGGGAGAAGAAAAGTGGGGAAGGGGAGAATGTTTTTATATGGGGTAGAAAATGAGGTAAATTTTGGGTACCTATAGCAAAATTGCTTAATATAAGAGATACAGTAGAAATCTCCAACTTACAAATTACAAAGTACTACTCTTTACAATATTCATCGTGTTGCAAAGACTTAATATACATCAAATTAATTTTGTGTTGCAAAGTTAAAATCTTGACTAAATTGTTTTAATAAAAACACTTATTCTATTAAACATTAAAGAATGTTTAAGACGAATGTCAACTTCCCCGGAACACATTCATTCACTTCCATTGTAAGATACAATTCGATTTGGTGCATGTTTAAAAACAAGATAAAGTGATTGTTTTATTATTTTAAAAATGCAAAGAGTAAGAAAATGTAAAATGTATCCAAAAGAAGTAAATTATAGATAAAGAACAAAGTGAAAAATAAAAAGGTAGTGTCAATTTAAGAAAGTTTTCATACTCCGTATTTTTTAGGCACACAAAAGTGAAGCGTGTGTTACAAAATAGGACAGAAGAGTAACAAAATCTGGTGGAAGAAATATTTACCATAATTTTGAAATTACGGACCGCAACATGTGTTGCAGCTGCAATATTGCGGTTATGGTCTGCAGTACAACTGCATCGAGCCGCAATTGTGGTGAGATTTTGATTGACAGGAAAAAGCCATGACGTATCCGCAATAGGGCACTACCAGGCCACATCAGGCTGCATCGGACCTCATTGGGATGCACTGGAACCGCAACACTAATTTATCTTTTCTCTTATTTTGTTTGAACGTAAAAATAATTCACATCTCAACGGTCGCAAAGGCAACCGTGGCCACAAATAAAACGTTGATATGGACTAAAGTGTAAATAAAAATATATGATGATGAATAATTTAATAATCATTTCACAAATATGAATTTATATTTGGTTGTGGTTAGTTCATAATAAAAATTTATTATATTCAACTTGATTGATTCTATAAACAATTCAAAATACCTATTGCAAAATACGTAGTACGGAATAGTATTTTTCATTTCATTCGTATCAAAATGACGTGCTACCAAGGCATGCCCGGACTTCACACCAGACAACTTAACTTTTGTGGATATGATCTAAAGTGATGATAACTTACAAATTACAAAGTGCTATAACATTCTCTGTGCGAAATCAATACACTCTGAGACCTAATCTGGAAATAATTTAAGCATAGTGCGAGCAATAATAAATAAATTTCTTTAAATATTAAACTGAAAACTTTATACATATAAGATTTTTGAAGTAGATACATTGTTTTAAAAATATATTCAACTCCACGTACTGATTATCCATATCCTTTCATTAAAAGATTTATTAGTTTCTATCTTTTGTCTCACCTTGAAATTGCCAGCCTCTATAAATATCGCTAGCTATAAAGACAAAAATATCAAGTAACTTGATATCATGGCTTTGAGAATCGGTATACTTATTTTTACTCTTATTTGTCTTTGCAACAACGTTACACATGGAAAAAGGAGAACACATAGTCATAACTTCGAAAGAAAAAGGGGATATCGCAGGAGTTCAATCATCACTACTCTCAAGGTATTCTTAAATAAGTCCGATTTTACCTCAAAAAAAAGAGTCCGGTTTTGTTTATCTTCTTTAAAGAGGGTGATGCCAACCCCTCTTCTTTGTTTGTCATGTGAAATTCCAATTTCTATTATTTTTCAAATTATTACCTAGTATAATTTTATTATGTTGCACTTTTGTCCAGAGTAATGCACTCTTTGTGATGATGATTTTTTTTTATTTATGTACAAAAGTTCCATCATATCTAACGTACACACAACCACTAATTTTTAATGCACATTTAATTAAAAAGTACTGTACTATGGTGCATTAAATATTACCAGTATTTAATGATCGTCAATTTAATCATAGTTAGGATATAACACACAACAATTGGTAAATGATTCACAATAAACTTATAGAAGATAAATCATAATTTAATGCGCGAGTTAATAATTAAAATTTCATGCACTAAAATTTCTAAATAATTAAATTTATTTTAGAAATAATCTTGATAGTTTACATATTAAATGATATAGTTCAATATTTGGGGAAGGAAGAAACGATTATAAACTCACTATTTCATTGCTTTTTGTTTTGAAATAATTAAAAGTTACGGTATACATGTAATTTTTACATCATTGTACTGAATAAAAAGAACACTAGAAAATCACATATCAATATTTGATGAAATTAATATGAAATGATAAATATTTTGTTTTGGATAATTAAGTAAGAACATAAAATTAAAAATATAGAAATAAGCGTGTGATTTAAGCAATGTCATGTTTTGAGGTGATACAAAGAAGAAAATTAAAAGAGTCATACGTTGTTGTCAATTGAAACATTATTTAATTGAAGAACTTTTTAGTGCAAACCAAAATAATATTATATAAAATGCAATAATACCTAAATGACTAAAATAAAGATAATAGATAAAAATGTTACATTAACTCTTATATTGATTTTAATTATGCTCAAATTCTACTACAGATGAATTTAGAAGGGATATGCCAAATTTGTCCCAAAACATGTTTTGGCACGAGCTATTTGACATGAAATCGTTGATCAGTCAGTGTCAAATATGTGTCAATTCCGTAATTGTTTTGTAGTAACATAGATTGTAAGAATATACTAGTCACTGTAATCACTGTAATCACGATCGATCTTTTATATTTATGATTTTGCCACAATGTGTTCTAAAAATGAACTCATCTATCCATTTTTGTGATAAAAAAGAAAATATTTATTTTTTATTTTCATGGAATGATTGCTTTTCATTTAAACCTTTCTATATATATATATATATATATATTACGTAATAAAGTCCACATTTTGATTACAGACTATCTCCGGAGATACTTATGACTGCGTAGATATCTATGAGCAACCTGGCATGGATGATCCTAAAATGGAGAGGGACAAACTTAAGGTATGTATGTTTGCTATTGTACTCCATCAAAAAAAGGCTTTCTTTTTTAGTTGGCATGGTTATTAAGGCTACGAATTAAACTATTTAGATTAGAGCATCTCCAATGCCACAATGTGTACAGTGCAGATGTGACATTAGAGATAGAAACATAAAAATAAAGCATTGACATTCCCCTCTTTTCACAGTTTTATATAATTTTTTAATAATGTCAACCATAATGTCTACACTTACTAAAAAATTGACATTGTGGAGAAAAACTTACCACAAACATGTATGTGTGTTTATTTCTCTCATGCCACAACTGCACCGGTTCCAAATGCAAAATTGAGGCCCTATCTATTTGGTTTTAATTATTACGTAGTATTATTAATATTGTAATACTATATAATATAACTATATTATAAGAAATGATTTAGTCAGGCGTGATGTATATTATGTCAATAAATTTTAGCTTAGAATTTTGCTGAAGTGCATGCGTAGTGTTTTTCAATAATTTATTTAACTGAATTCCCGATTTAACTTTAAGCTAAATTTTTGTGGACATATAATGAACTTGAAGGGCCCGGTTCCAAATGGTGAATTGAGGCCCCCTAAAACAAGAAAGAATGTAAAATTTAACAATGAAATACAAATAGACTTGATAGTTCATTGAAAGATAAGTGTTATAATGTTGAAAGTACACAAATTAGACAATCTAAAAGTTATACACCATTTGGAATGTAGAAAAATTAACCTACAACTACTATTACATACTAATTTGTTTGGAGACCCTATAAAAGTGGGTCATAGTGCCAAACACGTTTTGCACGGTTGCACCTCCTAAAAGACAGCCCGCCAGTGTCACGCCTTTTCGCACGATTATTAAAAAATGAAATTACCTCGTTGACCAGTAATTATTAGAAATGATAAAAAACGGATGAAGCACGAAATTATGATTATTCCTTAATAGGAAAATGGGGGAGGGGGTGCCATGATGAATAAAAAATAAAAATGCAAAGACTACACACAAACACACACATATATATATATATATATATACACACACATATATATATATACATACATATATATATATATATATATATATATATATAGAGAGAGAGAGAGAGAGAGAGAGAGAGAGAGAATTAGGTTCAAGTGAGAAAATGATCTTAGGAGAGAAATGAGAATGAATCTGGACCGTTAGATTGTATTCTGTGAAATTTAATATGCCTTGGGTGAAACTCAATTGTGCACAAAAGGTACAACACAGTGGCTTATGTGAATGTTAGTTGTGTATTAGGTGAAATTGAAATGTGCATAATAAAAGTTACAATGTGGTGACATTTTTGTGTCTTTTATTATGCACATTTCAATTTAACATAATGCATATTTGAGTTTTACATTTGATTCTGCACACTTTAATTTTAACTAATGCATATTTCAGTTTCACAAAGTGCACAATTCAGTTTTATATAATACGATTCAACGGTCCAAATTCATTCTCATTTCTCTCCTGGGAGTCCTTTTCTCATTGGAAACACTCACTATATATAGGAAACGGTTCCAACCATGCTTAACGTGGGAATGTGTGAACCATGCACTTTTAACACAATTTAATGGACTATGAGCATCATGTATTACACTTTTTAAGGTGGCGGATTCGTAAGTATTTTTTCAACACGAATATGATTTCGTAGAACCATCATCCACACACACATATATTTATAGGATTTTCCAAAAAAATAAAGTTATTTACAAAAACATAAGTTACTATGACTAAGTTACTACCATAGTCACTACATTTAGTAAGTCACATTTTTGTAAACAACATTTATGTTAGTCATATACTCCGTATATGTAATTATTTCGAGCTCGTTTGGAAACACTGTAATTGGCTGAATCAGCAT